AGGAATAAACTCCCTTAATGGTGACCACACAGCTCCCAGAGTCCACCCAATACCCCACCAGAAACTTTAGCCGTCCCATCGTAGTGCCTCTAGCTCAAGTGTCTGACTCATTTGTTTAATATGAATAGATCTGTACTCAACTTTGTTTTTATCATCCTGAGTCCCAGCAATTTATTACTTTTAAGTTCTGATAATATATCTGAGACCTCATTTATAATCATAATTTAGCAAATACATGGTAGTACTGTCATTTTTATTATTTTATTTTTTGTAGTAACAGGAAAAACAATACAGTTCAACATACCATCATGTTAAACCTAAAAGCACCACAGAACATAACACTTACTGTTCATTTCAATGTATTAAAATGTATTAACTTATGATGGTTTTAAATTATTTTTATAGGCCTATTATTTTTACATTTAGCTTGTTATTTTTAAAAATAAGTTTATATGAAGTTGTTAAATGTTGCTAAATGTGGGTTAAACACAAGTCTGTTTTCCATCTTTTAACTATATATTCAGTTACATATAGTAAATGTTAAATGATGTTCCGAATTATAGGCTATTTAGCAAGAAAGTCAATAGAATACAATAGCGACCTGTAATTTAGGAGATCTTTTATCCAAGGCGATTTATGGTTTACCTGAAGCATCCTTAAGGTGCACACATCTTCGGATTAAATCGTTTTTATGCATACGAATCTGCATATAATGTTATGTAACATATGCATCATAGGTCTAACTGGGATAGTCAGCAGATGCATGTAGCCTAATATATCTAATGTTGGTTCATTATTCATGTGTTAGTGTAGAGTTACAAGCGCACCGTCGCCATGGCTGCGTTAGAAACTTACCATGACTTCTTTCATACAGATAAGAAATGATCATCGCCTATAATATGTCCTTAACGCGTTTGGCTCAAAAACAGCTGTTCAGCACCATGGACAAAATCAACCAACAGAACTCCATCTTGGCTGTGGATTTCATCAACATATAAAGTAAGTTTTCGCGCGTGGAGCAACGCGGAGAGGGATATGAAGAAGCAGAACAGGCTCACCTATAAAAGTTAAAGGTTACTAAACAAGCTAAGTAATCTATTTGACGTTTTTAACGCTTTTTTAAATGACTTACTATTTATGAAGTGTCTCGATCAAGGACAAAATGGACCAACATCCTTTCACATATCAGCCCAGATATTTAACCACTAAACTACAACACCCAGACACCGACTGTGATGTTTAAAAAAATAAACGCAGCTTTCCGTCCGAACCATCTTGGACCTCGCTCGCGGGACAGGTTCAGGTCCAATGAGGACTACCACAGCGCGTGCACTGTGAAACTGGTCCGGAGCACGTCTATGCTCGTGGTCGGGGAGAGCAGACGCGCGCCGCAGGACACCACGCTGAAGCGGAGCGTGAGCGCCGTGAGCGTCGAGTCCAGCACGGCCCTGTATTACTACCAGAGCCGAGAGGACCGAGTATGGCTCTATTCCCAGAACCAGAACTGCTTAGAGTACTTACAGGAACTGGTGGCGCTCAGGCGTCAGTACACCAAGAGCATCAATGACCTCAAGAACAGCGAACGTAAAGAGACCACGTCCCGCAAGAAGAACCCCGCACCCCGGCCACCGCAAAACAGAGCTGCACAGGTGAGAGGCAACAAGGCAAGGTTTGCATGTTTAAACCTAATAGAAGAAATTGAGAACATTATTAGGGCAAAGTAAAGCAAGTTGTGCCCGTTTGTCTACTTTCAACCGAATTAGGAGTTTAGGAGGCAAGAGTCGTAGTTAATAGTGAGAATTGGACCTTAAAATAAAGTGTGAGAAAAGAAACAGTCAAATCTTGATTTAAAAAATAGGAAAATATGTAATGTTGTTCCCTTTTTGCAGTTCACTAAACTATATTTGTCTGTTGTAGGTTCTTTAGTTTTGTGGGAAAATCCTTGATCGTTTTTTAAAGAAGGATTGCATTACCAGGCTATTAATTTTTAAGAGGTACAACAGTTTTAGTTTTGTGCTTTATCAGTTCTAAAAATAGTACAAATGTCAAAGGAACCTATGCTAATGAAATTAGTTTGAATAAGCAATGCAACTAAAAGTATGCATAATACATACATCATCTTAATTCAAAGACTTCAAGGCCTGAACCTTCTGCTCCACCAATCCCAAATGAGGAAGACACACTCCAGTTCTTTGATGCAGTCATTGCAAGCTGTGACCCAGAGCCCAGTCGAAAACCACATATGGATAATGGGCATGCAGATGTGGACTTCATAGGTGAGTGTGGAGCTTATTACTTAACCTTATCTTTACATTCAAACTCTAGTGAACTCTAAAGACTGCATGGAAGATGCAATTGTAGGATGTTGCACATGTGTACATCTTAATAGAAAGCTTGGTCAACTAGATGTATTTAGTTTTTTCCCCTTCATGGCTCACTCATTAATTTTTTATTGTTTATGTCATGTCTGTTTCTCTCCATCCTCCTATTTCAATGTTTAATTAGTGGCTACTAGTACCAGCGAACATGACCTTCACTCTAACTGGGTACTTCGGGACCCTCGTCGAATCTCCATGACGGAGTCGCAACCCAAGAATTCAGGTATCAGTCACGGGCAGGCAGCCCAGCGGAAGGGGAACATGGGAAGCACAGGTAGCAGGAGATGTCTGCAACGAAACCCAATCCACCTGCCGAAAGTGGTGGAGAGTGCCTTTCAGACTCTGCGCTTCAAACCCAAGCTCAAGAAGAAAGACTAGCTGCTTAAGCAACACTGTTTAATTACACTGTTTGTCCCCAGATGACAACTAAAAGTTCACAGTTGTGCAATCAAGAAGTTGGACCTGGAAGAAAGAATAAAGAATAGTCTGAATCACCACAGAGGATGTGAGCTCTGTGACGTAATGTCAATGCTTACTCACTGCCCAAGCTTCATAAATTATCCACAGCAGATCAGAATCTTTTTGTCAGCAGCTCTCGATAACAAACGCTTGAGGCCATTAACGGAGCGTAACCACTGAACAATCATCCTGCGCACTGATTCCAGACAGAGCAACAAGAATTTCCTTATCACAATAACGCAGATCCGAGAATCACCTGTCTGGTGAAACAGTCAGATATTCAGACAGGGATCAGACATACGAGTGATGCAAAACACATCAAGGCCAAGGAGCTAGCTATTAACTGCCTAGTTATGATAGGTGAGTCTTAATTAACCAAATGCAAAACTAACACCTGTATTTTGCATTTGTTAAAGGGTTAGTTCACCCAAAAATAAAAATTAGACTGTGTTTTACTTACCCTCGAAGCATCCTAGGTCTGTATGACTTTCTTCTTTCAGACGAATCCAGTCAGAGATATATAAAAAATTGTCCTGGCTAATCCAAGCTCTATCATTGGAGTCAGCGGGTGTTGCAGTTGAACAGTCCACAAGTCGTCAAATAAAGCGCGCGCATTCATAATAAAACACACTTCACACGGCTCCGGAAGCAAAGTTTCCTTACTTTAACAAAGTAGTCTCCTCTTGGCGTATTTCGAATTCCGACATTGTGTTGTCTCTCCGCATTCGTCACTAATCACGCAACGCCGACGTGCTACGTCATCCGCCGGCACGGCTTCCGCATATGACAGTTGGTGGAAGTGATATAAAAGTGTTTATTACGTTTGAAATATGGATATTTTTCTCACAAAAACACATGGATTCACTACAGAAGGCCTTTATTCACCCCCTGGAGCCGTGTGAAGCACGTTTTATTATGAATGTGCACGCTTTATTTGACGACTAGTGGACTGTTCAACTGCAACAACCGCTGACTGCAATGATGGAGCTTGGAATAGCCAGGACAATTTTTAATATAACTCCGACTGGATTTGTCTGAAAACACAAGCCAATTTCCATTTTTGGGTGAACTAACCCTTTAAGTTTAATACAGTAAAACTTTGGGGATCCTTACTACAGCATTTCTTTATATGACATCCCTCAAACTGGTACTAGGTGCCTTAGTTAGTGTGTAGGTTTGTACAATCTTTTTTTATTAATGTTTATGATGATCTGTAAGTATACCAGTAAGCAAGAAAAGAGTGCTCAATTGTGTTAACTACTTCAGCTACTGTTCAAGTGATGTATTTCTACTAGTGAGACTGGGTTTTTTTTTAGCATTAAAGCATATAAAGAGGAACTAGATGCACGTGTTTGCTAGGTGCCTTAGTTAGTGTGTAGGTTTGTACAATCTTTTTTTATTAATGTTTATGATGATTTGTGATTATCTGTAAGTATACCAGTAAGCAAGAAAAGAGTGCTCAATTGTGTTAACTACTTCAGCTACTGTTCAAGTGATGTATTTCTACTAGTGAGACTGGGGTTTTTTTAGCATTAAAGCATATAAAGAGGAACTAGATGCACGTGTTTTAATCCAGAACTAAAAAGAGCTGGTTTCTTTTTTTGAAAAAAGGAAGCAGGAATTGGGTATTACCCTTTCAAACTATAAAAAGTAAAATCATAATAACAACAGGTGCAATGAGTCTTTAGCAGCAAATAATAGTGAATAAAGTTGAAGGAAATTGACTACTATTACATATACACATCATAAACCAATGAAGAATGTGTTTTATATACTTAAACGTTTGGGGTCAGTATGTGAATTGGTGGGTTTTTGTTAAATGTGAGCCAAAATCATCACAATTAAAAGAACCAAAGACTTAAACTACTTCAGTCTCTGTGCATTGAATTTATTTAATACACGAGTTTCACAATTTGAGTTGAATTACTGAAATAAATTAACTTTTCCATGACATTCTAATTTATTGAGATGCACCTGTATATATAAAGAAATTAATGCTTTAATTCAGCAAGGATGCTTTAAGTTCACCAAAAGTGATAAGATTTTTTTAACTGAAGTATTGTATAGCGCTGCTGCATTAAGCACAGCACATTATGAGTGGCAAATAAAGCAATCAGTGGAGCAAAAAATGTTTTCTAATATCTTTATTAGCTAAATGTTCGACACTCACACAAACACTCACTCAGCTCTTCTCTTGTTTGACTTTGGGGCTGAAGAACGCAGATAAGCACTTCATGCCAGATTTGTCTACTTTGGCAAGACTCTTCTGAGCAGCAGTCATCTTCTTTGGTGGCTGAGATAACATAGAACATATTTTAAATATTAGAATGATCAAAACTGTAGTACAGTAGCTAAGTAGGAAAAGTACATTTACAACCAATAATATTTTAATAATAATAACCAATAATATCATTTTTAGGCATAGACAGAGAAAAAGACAGTTCTGCTGTAGCATGTAATGCCATTTCTTCCAATGCTTGTATCATAAATCCCATCACCACTGTTTGTGATTCTAACTCACTTTTTGTGCAAAATTAGCACTGTTGAACTTGGTGTAGTCTTCCCCGGCCTCTACTGGTTTATCTGACAGTTTCCGTTTCTACCGAATGCAAGACAGCAGTCAGAAAAACTAAGTCCAACAAAAGATCTTTTTGAATCTAAGTGAACTGCTACACCAATCCTCTAAATGCATTCAGAAACAAAGCATTTATTATGCTTCTTGAAACAATGACAATCTGCTTGGGTTAAAGAAGAAATAGAAATCAGAAAGCAAATTTTTAAGGCATAAAATCAAGTAAAGCAAGGACAGACATAATTTAACTATTAACATGCAAGCATGGCAGTAACATAATATGCAAATGGCACACTGGTATTTCAAGCCAAAAGATTTACCTTAGAAGGCGGCTCTGTCTCTTTAGGGCTGGATATCTCTGGCAACCTTGTAACATGAGACAAAAAATTTTATACCTACAGAAATCTGACTATACAAATAACATGGTACAAAGTAAATGACAGTCTGGGAATTAGAGATGGGCGATATGGGCTTTAAAATATATCACGATAATTTCTGATATTTATTGTGATAACGATATCAATGACGATAATTTAGGGAATCCTGTTTCTTTAGAGCAGTGGTCACCAACCTTTTTAGGCCCAAAATCCCTGACCTCGGCCTTTATGAAAGACAAGATCTACCTATTGATAGAAAAAGACATCCCGTATTGTACTTCAAATTTGAGGCCTTTTACTTAGTATTTTAATTAGTGATGCGCCGATCATAGCAGATTCAGAATTCAGATTTTCTTTTCTTTCTTTCGTTTTTTTTTAAACTAGCAAATTAGATACTGATACTGATTTTTAAGTAAATTTGTTTATTGGCTATTCCGATCATAGCGGATTCAGAATTCAGATTTTCTTTTCTTTCTTTCGTTTTTTTTTAAAACTAGCAAATTAGATACTGATACTGATTTTTAAGTAAATTTGTTTATTGGCTATTTGCTTTATAACAAACAAACTGGCTTTAAACAAAAATATCTAGCCATTTGAAATTAGAGGCAACCACTGCATTTTAATTACGATCTGCATGGGCAGTTGTTTTTGATTTGATTTAGATTAATTCCAGGATTTAAAACAAAAACAGAATTGTCTGACTTTAGGTGTTATTTATTTATTTGCTGCATAAAACATCTGCACGAAACAAAAACAGCAGGTCTGAATGAGACGCACTCATCAGAGCACTGGGTTGCCAGGTTTTCGCAATAAAACTAGTCCAATTGCGTTTCGAGGAGGGTTCCTCTGTAAAAATCGCATTCAGGAGGTAAAATACATGTTTTTCGGCGGGGATCTTCAAGTAAAATTCACATTCCAGGGATTAAATATCATGTTATTGGGGTCGCTTCATCGCGATCGACGGGTTGGCGACCACTGCTTTAGAGAAAAGTATTACCTTTCCTATTTTTACCCAAAATAGGGTGTTGTGAGCATTACTGCCCCCATGCATAGCAGAAGTAATGCTCCAGGAAGAAGTATCCAGTGATCGCTGTAGCTGAATAAAACGCAGATAAAGACATTTTAACTGAGGAAACCTGAAGACAATAAACATGCGATTGCACAAAATTTATGGTATCTGTGTTCTTCAAACAATCTTGGGTATGTTTTATAAGGATAAAGTATATTTATAATGCAATGCTAATCAACATAGCCTTTATCACTGTATATAATGCTATAAAAAAGTATGATTTCTGCCTTATTCTGTTATAAGAAACCACATCTGATCACAAAGATAAGTTATTTCAAACACTCGACTATGTTATGAAGTTAATATGGAGAAAAAGCATGTCAATAAATTAAAATATCTTTGTTGGACAACAGGTTTGTAAACGACTCATACACATGTAAAACTGTGTCGCACATGTGCTACTGTAGTACATTTACTCAAGGCTCAGACCGATTTTTGTCGCACTGTACAGCCCTATCCAAACCTGTTCCAGATTGTAGAAGGAGCTGCTCAATTTCACGTCCGCCTTCTTTCACGTTACTCCACAGTCGTACACAGAAATATGTCAACAACTAGATTTTATCGTTATTATCGTGGGAAGACGAATTCGCAAACGATAAGATATCGCCCATCCCTACTGGGAATGAGAGCAGGGTGTTTATTGGCCACTATAAAGCTGATAAATATGATATCACACTATATAGAGGTACACTGGTGCTCTAGCAGTTCATAACCAAAACTGCATGAATATGATGAGTCACACAGGTATTGGGCTACTCGGTTGCGGTTGATGTCCCACAAGGTCTAAAATAGCCTGAATATAAACACTTAATATAGGTGTACTGTAGTGATCCAGGATAAGTCAAAAACACATTTTTAGAAGATTGATTCATGATGTACTCACTCATTATTTTCATTTTGAACAAAAAAACTAGTTACATGGTGTACCACTATTTGTGAAGTGATGTGATTGATCAGTGCATGATCAGTGTAGGTATACATACTGCAGATGCTTGAGGAGATCTTTGCTCAGGTCTTCACTGATGTACTCTGATATGAGACCATGTGCATAACGTAAGTAGTCCTCTAAAAAAAATAACAAACAATAACATCAGCAAATAATGCATACAAACATAATCTACCCCGATTTATTCACCCTTTTTACCTTCAGTAGCATCTTCCTGTTTCACTCTGACAAACGTGCTGGATTTCACTCCTCCACCCACAGATATGTTGCTCTTTTTGAGTGTGCTTACTGTGCGTTGGATCTAAAAAACATTTTTCAAAATATTTTTAAAAGCAACTTAAAGGGTTAGTTCACCCAAAAATGAAAATCGGCTTGTGTTTTACTCACCCCCGAGGCATCCTAGGTGTATATGACTTTCTTCTTTCAGACGAATCCAGTCGGAGTTATATTAACAATTGTCTTTGATCTTTCAAGCTGTTTAATGCCCCTCAGTGGGTGTTGCATTGCTTCAGTCCAAAAGAAGTGAAATAAAAATCGCCGATCCATAAAAACAAAAAAAAGTGTCTCACACGGCTCCGGGGGTGAACAAAGGCCTTCTGTAGCGAATCAATGCATTTTTGCAAGAAAAATATCCATATTCAAAACGTAATAATCACTTGAATCTAGCTTGCGCTCACTGTTGTAAACAGAAGCAGTTCCGGGGGAATTACGTATGAGGTCGGCTTTGTGCATGCACCGCTCAGAAGTGACGCACGCGTATACGCAGCGGAGAGATCAAAACAAAACAACGGTCAAGAATTAGAAGTACAAAACGAGGATTTGTAAAGAAGAATGTCAGAGGATTTCGATATAAGCCAAAAGGAGACTGGTTTTCCTTTGCTAAAGTAAGGAAACTTTGCTTCCTTTGATCCTGTAAACAAACGTTGGTTTTCACGAGACTCACCGGCGCATGTGCGACGCAGAACTCATACGTCATCAGCCCGGAACTGCTTCGGTGTACAACTTTTGGCACAAGCTACATTAAAGTGATTATTACGTTTTGAATATGGATATTTTACACTGCCAAAAGCATCAAAAGTTGGTTAAATGACCATGGTGTTGGTGTGCTTGACTGGCCAGCAAACTCACCAGACCTGAACCCTATAGAGAATCTATGGGGTATTGTCAAGAGGAAAATGAGAAACAAGAGACCAAAAAATGTAGATGAGCTGAAGGCCACTGTCAAAGAAACCTGGGCTTCCATACCACCTCAGCAGTGCCACAAACTGATCACCTCCATGTCACGCCGAATTGAGGCAGTAATTAAAGCAAAAGGAGCCCCTACCAAGTATTGAGTACATGTACAGTAAATTAACATACTTTCCAGAAGGCCAACAATTCACTAAAAATGTTTTTTTATTGGTCTTATGAAGTATTCTAATTTGTTGAGATAGTGAATTGGTGGGTTTTTGTTAAATGTGAGCCAAAATCATCACAATTAAAAGAACCAAAGACTTAAACTACTTCAGTCTGTGTGCATTGAATTTATTTAATACACGAGTTTCACAATTTGAGTTGAATTACTGAAATAAATTAACTTTTCCATGACATTCTAATTTATTGAGATGCACCTGTATATATAAAGAAATTAATGCTTTAATTCAGCAAGGATGCTTTAAGTTCACCAAAAGTGATAAGATTTTTTTAACTGAAGTATTGTATAGCGCTGCTGCATTAAGCACAGCACATTATGAGTGGCAAATAAAGCAATCAGTGGAGCAAAAAATGTTTTCTAATATCTTTATTAGCTAAATGTTCGACACTCACACAAACACTCACTCAGCTCTTCTCTTGTTTGACTTTGGGGCTGAAGAACGCAGATAAGCACTTCATGCCAGATTTGTCTACTTTGGCAAGACTCTTCTGAGCAGCAGTCATCTTCTTTGGTGGCTGAGATAACATAGAACATATTTTAAATATTAGAATGATCAAAACTGTAGTACAGTAGCTAAGCAGGAAAAGTACATTTACAACCAATAATATTTTAATAATAATAACCAATAATATCATTTTTAGGCATAGACAGAGAAAAAGACAGTTCTGCTGTAGCATGTAATGCCATTTCTTCCAATGCTTGTATCATAAATCCCATCACCACTGTTTGTGATTCTAACTCACTTTTTGTGCAAAATTAGCACTGTTGAACTTGGTGTAGTCTTCCCCGGCCTCTACTGGTTTATCTGACAGTTTCCGTTTCTACCGAATGCAAGACAGCAGTCAGAAAAACTAAGTCCAACAAAAGATCTTTTTGAATCTAAGTGAACTGCTACACCAATCCTCTAAATGCATTCAGAAACAAAGCATTTATTATGCTTCTTGAAACAATGACAATCTGCTTGGGTTAAAGAAGAAATAGAAATCAGAAAGCAAATTTTTAAGGCATAAAATCAAGTAAAGCAAGGACAGACATAATTTAACTATTAACATGCAAGCATGGCAGTAACATAATATGCAAATGGCACACTGGTATTTCAAGCCAAAAGATTTACCTTAGAAGGCGGCTCTGTCTCTTTAGGGCTGGATATCTCTGGCAACCTTGTAACATGAGACAAAAATTTTTATACCTACAGAAATCTGACTATACAAATAACATGGTACAAAGTAAATGACAGTCTGGGAATTAGAGATGGGCGATATGGGCTTTAAAATATATCACGATAATTTCTGATATTTATTGTGATAACGATATCAATGACGATAATTTAGGGAATCCTGTTTCTTTAGAGCAGTGGTCACCAACCTTTTTAGGCCCAAAATCCCTGACCTCGGCCTTTATGAAAGACAAGATCTACCTATTGATAGAAAAAGACATCCCGTATTGTACTTCAAATTTGAGGCCTTTTACTTAGTATTTTAATTAGTGATGCGCCGATCATAGCAGATTCAGAATTCAGATTTTCTTTCGTTTTTTCGTTTTTTTTTAAAACTAGCAAATTAGATACTGATACTGATTTTTAAGTAAATTTGTTTATTGGCTATTTACAAACAAACAAACAAACTGGCTTTAAACAAAAATATCTAGCCATTTGAAATTAGAGGCAACCACTGCATTTTAATTACGATCTGCATGGGCAGTTGTTTTTGATTTGATTTAGATTAATTCCAGGATTTAAAACAAAAACAGAATTGTCTGACTTTAGGTGTTATTTATTTATTTGCTGCATAAAACATCTGCACGAAACAAAAACAGCAGGTCTGAATGAGACGCACTCATCAGAGCACTGGGTTGCCAGGTTTTCGCAATAAAACTAGTCCAATTGCGTTTCGAGGAGGGTTCCTCTGTAAAAATCGCATTCAGGAGGTAAAATACATGTTTTTCGGCAGGGATCTTCAAGTAAAATTCACATTCCAGGGATTAAATATCATGTTATTGAGGTCGCTTCATCGCGATCGACGGGTTGGCGACCACTGCTTTAGAGAAAAGTATTACCTTTCCTATTTTTACCCAAAATAGGGTGTTGTGAGCATTACTGCCCCCATGCATAGCAGAAGTAATGCTCCAGGAAGAAGTATCCAGTGATCGCTGTAGCTGAATAAAACGCAGATAAAGACATTTTAACTGAGGAAACCTGAAGACAATAAACATGCGATTGCACAAAATTTATGGTATCTGTGTTCTTCAAACAATCTTGGGTATGTTTTATAAGGATAAAGTATATTTATAATGCAATGCTAATCAACATAGCCTTTATCACTGTATATAATGTTATAAAAAAGTATGATTTCTGCCTTATTCTGTTATAAGAAACCACATCTGATCACAAAGATAAGTTATTTCAAACACTCGACTATGTTATGAAGTTAATATGGAGAAAAAGCATGTCAATAAATTAAAATATCTTTGTTGGACAACAGGTTTGTAAACGACTCATACACATGTAAAACTGTGTCGCACATGTGCTACTGTAGTACATTTACTCAAGGCTCAGACCGATTTTTGTCGCACTGTACAGCCCTATCCAAACCTGTTCCAGATTGTAGAAGGAGCTGCTCAATTTCACGTCCGCCTTCTTTCACGTTCCTCCACAGTCGTACACAGAAATATGTCAACAACTAGATTTTATCGTTATTATCGTGGGAAGACGAATTCGCAAACGATAAGATATCGCCCATCCCTACTGGGAATGAGAGCAGGGTGTTTATTGGCCACTATAAAGCTGATAAATATGATATCACACTATATAGAGGTACACTGGTGCTCTAGCAGTTCATAACCAAAACTGCATGAATATGATGAGTCACACAGGTATTGGGCTACTCGGTTGCGGTTGATGTCCCACAAGGTCTAAAATAGCCTGAATATAAACACTTAATATAGGTGTACTGTAGTGATCCAGGATAAGTCAAAAACACATTTTTAGAAGATTGATTCATGATGTACTCACTCATTATTTTCATTTTGAACAAAAAAACGAGTTACATGGTGTACCACTATTTGTGAAGTGATGTGATTGATCAGTGCATGATCAGTGTAGGTATACATACTGCAGATGCTTGAGGAGATCTTTGCTCAGGTCTTCACTGATGTACTCTGATATGAGACCATGTGCATAACGTAAGTAGTCCTCTAAAAAAAATAACAAACAATAACATCAGCAAATAATGCATACAAACATAATCTACCCCGATTTATTCACCCTTTTTACCTTCAGTAGCATCTTCCTGTTTCACTCTGACAAACGTGCTGGATTTCACTCCTCCACCCACAGATATGTTGCTCTTTTTGAGTGTGCTTACTGTGCGTTGGATCTAAAAAACATTTTTCAAAATATTTTTAAAAGCAACTTAAAGGGTTAGTTCACCCAAAAATGAAAATCGGCTTGTGTTTTACTCACCCCCGAGGCATCCTAGGTGTATATGACTTTCTTCTTTCAGACGAATCCAGTCGGAGTTATATTAACAATTGTCTTTGATCTTTCAAGCTGTTTAATGCCCCTCAGTGGGTGTTGCATTGCTTCAGTCCAAAAGAAGTGAAATAAAAATCGCCGATCCATAAAAACAAAAAAAAGTGTCTCACACGGCTCCGGGGGTGAACAAAGGCCTTCTGTAGCGAATCAATGCATTTTTGCAAGAAAAATATCCATATTCAAAACGTAATAATCACTTGAATCTAGCTTGCGCTCACTGTTGTAAACAGAAGCAGTTCCGGGGGAATTACGTATGAGGTCGGCTTTGTGCATGCACCGCTCAGAAGTGACGCACGCGTATACGCAGCGGAGAGATCAAAACAAAACAACGGTCAAGAATTAGAAGTACAAAACGAGGATTTGTAAAGAAGAATGTCAGAGGATTTCGATATAAGCCAAAAGGAGACTGGTTTTCCTTTGCTAAAGTAAGGAAACTTTGCTTCCTTTGATCCTGTAAACAAACGTTGGTTTTCACGAGACTCACCGGCGCATGTGCGACGCAGAACTCATACGTCATCAGCCCGGAACTGCTTCGGTGTACAACTTTTGGCACAAGCTACATTAAAGTGATTATTACGTTTTGAATATGGATATTTTTCTTACAAAAACGCATCGATTTG